GAATGGACCGTATGTAGTAGATGTTCAGTAATTGATGAACGGGGAGTTCTGTTTTCTTTTTTAAGCAACCAGCTGGATGAGTGCTCACACACACATTTGTGAAAATACTCCGATGCCTATATCGCTCGTCTCTTGTGCCTACCTTCTGGGTAATTTGATTCGTCTATTTCGCCACTGTGTACAGATTGTACCGAGTTATATTCCAGCAATATATCGAAGTCATTCTTCCGCAAGTGTGATTTTCCACAATTTGAAGGCATTTGTAAACAAGGAGCTATAGTGGTACTGGGGCCCTCACCGATCCTGTTACGAGAAATCCTTATTCCGTAATTCTTTGGGGCTCAATTCTGAGCCCCGCCTTCGCTACCATAGCCGTTCGTAACCGATGGGACAGTGACCCCTAGGACGTTGGACTTTTAACTAACAGCTCGCGGGTCCGAGTTTTAGGGGTTGACAACCCTGTGATTGGGCGTAACTAACTGTTGAAGGCTAATAAGTCAGGAATGCCCAATCCAGTCTCCTTTTTCTTCGTCGGCCATGTTAAAAAAAACTATAGTCAAGGCATTCTAAAACCGGAGACTAAAAAATGTTAATGGATTTCGCAAACAAAGAGAGGGAGCCTTCTTTAGTAAGACCTTTCAAACACCTTGTTTCGGAGGTAAGTTACACCGCATTATCCGTCTACATAGTAAACCCGATTACTCACTTAAGGAGACGTGTGTTATGATAAGGAACGAGGTTCTGTGGAAGTTTCTTCAATGGTAAAAGTACATTCACATTGCCTCTTTGTTCCGCAGAAGTACAGTTCATTCACTAACTGTAGCTATGCTGGTTGGGAGTGAGCTTATTAGGTTAATAAGTTGTCAATGCAGGGGTTTTAAAGCAGACATAGCAGGTCTCATCTCATTTGTCTCTAGGGTTGGGAAACAGATTAAGCTTAATCAGTCTTTCCTGGTAAGACGGAGTCCTAATGTCACCCCGCAGCAACTATCCTACGTTCGAGTTTGTCGGTTGTATCTTATAAATAGCGACAAAAGGTCCCCTCGTATTTCTTCCAAAAACTTATGCTGTCCAATGGAGTACCCGGCCGAGGACTTGCAATGTACAATTTTTGGAGGGAGTAGGTGTCCACTGATACGTCGATTCTCCCGTGAAAACATCATTAATCGGTAGAAAATCGACGAAACGCCTGTTGGATCTTTCACTGTCTGATTGCTTATATACAGTAATCGATCTCATGAAGGCTTAACCGAAGTTCTCAAATGCCTGTTCGACTAGGACGTTTTATTCACGTGAGATTGTAATAGTAGTTATCCTGCAACATAATCCCAGACACGTTAGGATGCCGGCTTTTGAATATAGACCATAAAAACCGCAATCGGTAATAGATGGCTACTTATGAAATATTGCCTTTTTCTATCGATTTTCCAAGTCCTTATATATTCAAATATGCTTTATTTAAAATTTCCATCAATTTTCGCTTTTTATGGCCGTTTAATAACAAATCACGTCGGTTTTACCTGTCCTACTCTAAGAGTAGGTATATTGGGGTGTTAAAAGGCTTTTAGAGTGGATTTTCAACCAGCTCTGCCGTCGTGTTTGTGTTGCATACTTTCCAAGGAAAAAAATCCTATCTTTCATGTTCTTAAAGTGGTACCCTAATGTTCTTATAACATTTCGCAATGTTCAGTGGAGCCTCGGGCGACGAGCAGCCCCATCTACGAGCATTTCAGGTAACACGCACATGTTCGAATTGAAAAGGACAAGGAAAATCAATGGAAGAAAAGCATACTACTTAAAAATCACTTTTATAGAATATGGGTTTCTCAGGCTCAATAAAAGGCCGATCTCATGGCCTGACTGAAATATTCTAGTGTTATGCCGCACAATTCAATCCCACCTGGTTAATCCTTCCCAGAAGTTAAGAATCTATCTTAGGCTTTCATGAGATCGGTCGTTGACTGTGTGTTTTGGTGCAAAATATACGGGCTTTTGTTCCTTGTAAGCATAAACATTGGATTCTAGTGCGCAATAATTAAAATTTGAAATGCAACCAATAGGAAACAAGGAGGCCAAATAGTGCCCATTTGAACACAATCGTCGATCATATAGAGTTGATAGACAGTTAATACAGAGATAGCTTCTGTGTCGAACAGTGACCGTATGTCGCCAAACAGGAAACAGAAGCAAATTAAAGCTAAGCTAAGTAAAAGTAAACTAAACTAAAAACTAGAATGGAGAAAAACCAAACTCAAGCTTAGGCCATAATTCGTCAACGCATGCCTACTGTTACGAAGTAGGTAGACAGTATACGCAGCGTGAGCTGTAGTGGAAACAACCTTAAGCCTTTACCCAAACAGAAGCACTGAACTCTTAATGGAGCACTCTCTCTTGAACTGATGACTTGCTTATGCTTCTTCCTCTTCAACGACTGTCGACCTCCTTTTCCCCCAATTTTTAGGTACTTCAAGGCCTCTTAACCTTCTGCATCAAATATCGTGTCGTTCCGCTTGATCGTGTTTTGCTCTCCCTGGTATGGCACTCCTATACGGCGATTGTTATTCTTTTGCCTCGTGCATTATTTGTCTCAGCCCATGTCAGTCCTAAAGTAGACTGCAGCTGGACCCCTAACTGATGCAAAATGGTGAAATCTGCAAAAAATTGATTATCATTCACACGCCGACATTAAAGCATGTACAAACACTTTAAAATAATAATGAAAAAACTTAAGCGAATTCAAAATTTTGAAGAAAGATAGAAAAATACAAAATACTTGTTAAGATATACCAAGCCCTTTAAGGAGGCCTCCACTTCCGAAAATGTAAAACATGACCATACATTTTAGCGATAAATGTCAGTGTATTTGTTAACTGAACTTGTAAACATATCATTTTCTTTATATTAAAAGGAATTTTTCTTTCGTCGATTCTCTTTATAGACAAATTAGGTATTGAATTACAATTAGGTTGAGATCATCCTTTAAGTTGCAGTAAAGGTTTCGCATTTTTCAGCGTTTTCAACCTTCCTACCTTAAATATAGATTCTGTTCGACGTGTACGTCAAAACCTTCAGGATAAAATATTTCTTAAAATCACTTGCCGAAAACCTGACTATTTGGATATTGATTCATGCGGACCAAAACTACTCAAAACACCAAAACTCCTTGTTGAGCAAAACGAACGTCCGCAACAAAAGTCTGATATTATGACATCTAAGATCAATCAAAAATGTTTCATAATGGCTCACCTCTCTAACAGGCACTTTTAATAGGTATTTAGATGACGAGTATCTGTGAATATC